AAAAAAAAAAAAAAAAAAAAAAGCTTTAAGTAAGCACTAGAGCGAAACAGGCACTGAGGTTTTTGAAAATAATTATAATGACACAACAGGATCTCTATGGCACTACATGTTTTGGAGAAGTATTTTCTGTCGAAGATAGAAATTAGTTGAAGAGCATGTTCATCTATTCCTTTTACTTAGATCCCTTATGATGAAGGAAGGCAAACAGTAGTTACATCGTGTTAGTGACTCAACATTAAAGCCAAGTTTTCCTATATTCATCTTTCAAGTTTGGGGATCATTTTAAGCAGAATAACCTAAATCTGCAAGGTAATCCTGCTTGTTGAAAAGTGCTGTCGCTTCAAGCTGTCACCATTTTCTCAAGGCTGTAAAGCCGATACAAAGTATAGGATGTGTTAATGGTGAGGATGCTGTGAGGCAGCAACTGTCGATACAAACACTCAGTTTCAAATTTCATATTCATCATAGCAGTCTCATGGTTTTCACTAATTAACTGTATGTTATAAACTAAAATAATCAAATAAAAGGATAATATATATAAAACCAAATACTTGTTTCTTCTGTTTTACTCATTGATGCTCCTTGTAAGATTTCTTTCTTTTTTTTTTTTCCAAGTCTCTAAGGTTTATTGAATGGAGGGGTGGAGGGTGGAAGGGAAAATGATGAGCCTCAATTCAGGAGAAAAACACTCTTGGTTATTACAGTCATTCCAGACATGACAGAGGGACACAGGGCTGGCCCTCCCTGTCCACGGCCCTCTCAGGATACTGCTGTCAAGACTCAGAGCCAGGCGAAGGGGCCCGCAGGCTCCCAGGCCAGCCTTCCCTGTGCTGTCTCATGTAGGGAGCACCCGCTCTGCGAGGCTCTGAGCGGACCGCGGGAAGGAGCCCCGGTGATGCGGCACTCTGCAGGCTCGGCCCCTCCTGTATCCTTGGATAGCCCCAAGAGAATCTGCGGGGAATTATCAGCAAGCCCATATCCCAGGTCACCCCGAGGGTCACTGACTCATGGCCTTGGGACTCCCTTCAATGGTCTGGATCTCAGGCTGACCTGTAACCCAGGAGCCAAGACAAGCCTCTCAGGGTCATCATGTGGCAGGTTCTGACTCTACAGAGTGAAGGCGCCATCACAGGATCTCTGCCTCCCGCAGAGCACATCGCAGGGGCCCCTGTTCTAGCGCCCAGCTGAAGAGAGGACACCTCCCAGGGAGCCTCCTCACCCGCAGACCCACCTGGGCCCCCCAGCCCAGGCTCTCCCTGCCGACACCTCTCCCACACCTGGAAGAGCAGGCACATGACACTCTGGCAGGGCCTGAGGAGCCAGCACGTGATCGGCCCACTTGGCACTGCTTACCACATATTTGGGAGACCACTGTGCTCCTCGAAAGGAAAACAGCACAGGAAGCCGGGTCCTAGGAGGCGAATCCACTGACAACCTGTCTCCCTCAGTCCTCAGGCTCCCTCCTGCTCAGTCACTGCCACAGTCACCTAGGGCTGTCCCCTTTGGAAGGAACAAGCATAGAGTCTTCTGAACATGAGGAAAAGCTTGCTGCCTGTATTACCAATGACTACAACATAGGCAGCCAGTAATAATTCAAACAGGGGGCCAAAAAGGAACACAGTGCTGCTGAAATAGGAGACGAGTGTAAGAAGACCACGGCTGCGGCTCCCCTGCCACCCACACACTCACTGAGGCCTGTACAGAGAACTTGCAGCAAGCACCAGGGGCCAGGAGGCATCTGAGAGGTGGCAGAATGGAGGAGGTGTGGGAAGGCACCAGTTTGGAAGGGACAGGAGTGGACCCTTCGAACACGGGGAACTGCTTTCTGCAATTCCTCACCTGCAGCCACAATCACTTTCAGATGCAGGGAGATTTCATTTGAAGAATTGTAATGCTGAAAAAAATCAGAAAATCTCTGTCATTCAATTTATAGGAGAAACCCAAAAAATTAAGCAGGAAGCATTAAAGAAACAGATCTTTGATTAGAAGAAAGTCAGAAACTAGATCAGAGTTATTCTGTTCAATCATAGCTCCAGATGCAAACTTGGAGCTCAAAAAAATGCTTATTGAAGTATTCAGTGTAGCAGAAATGGTGTGGCCCTTGCTCATAGAATCGGGAGAGGGGGAAACTTTGGAAATGAAGAAAGAGAGAAGGCCACAGAGGAAGTTTCGCTCATCCTACGGGAAGGATCTTCCTACAGGCAAGCCAGCAGGGCTCTGTGTGCAGCAACGCATACCAATGAGATGATGGTGAATGGGTAGCTACGTGTGTACATGTGACCACTCACCATGAGGGCCAGCGTGGCTGGGGTGTCAGCTTTACAGAAAGAATGTCATGAGCAGGGGGCCTCAGGACTTGTGGTAGAGAAAGAGTTGGGACAAGACATGATTTGGGGGTAAGGAGGTTAAGGGAAAAGTACAGCCTGGAGAGCAGAAGCTCAGACTAGGAATCATTCATTCATTCATTCATTCACTCATTTACTGATTCAGCACCTATGAACACAGGCATGACACTAGACGCTGAAGTTATGAAGATGGTCAGTGTCTCTTTGGGGGAGAGGAATATTGTTTCCAAAAGGGATGGCAGGGGCCTCAGTAGACTTTCTGGAAGAGGCAAGAGGCAGCCCCAGAGATGAGTATCAAGGAAGAAATAGGAGTTAATCCAGTCATTAATAGCCAAGGATGGGGAGGAGGGAGGACCCTATGCTGGAGACAGCACAGAATTCAGAATCTGCCTTCATACTTCCTTTTTCAGTTATTTCACACTACTTACATGTGTGCCTCCCAAGAGAACTCGGTGAGAGCAGAAACTGTCTCTACACCTTTTCATCTTTACACCCTTGCAGCTTAGTGTAGTGCCTGGAATGCCCCAGGAACTCAACACTTAACTGTTCTATGAACTGACAAATGAATGAGCAAAGGGCAAAACAGGGAAAGGAGAGGCCAGGGGTGCACATGCAGTGAGTATGGCCTAGAGAGGTGAGGACAGGCAACCAACTGAAATATAATGAACCCAAAGTAAACACATACAGGGGCCCTCTGTTCTGAGTCATGCATCAAGCAAGTAGACAGGGAAACGACCACTGAGGCAGGGCCCTTGCAGGAGCCTCTGGACCAAAACCCACTCACTCATCTGGTCTGAGGAAGCAGTCCTGAACTCTTCTCAAGAAAGGGCTGTGACATGGGGTGAGTGGTATCCCTTGAAGAAGATATGGTGAAGTCAGATCCCCAGGACCCCAGGACCTCAGCAAGGGACCTCTCCTTGTTTGGAGATAGGTTCTTTGCAGATTTAACCAACCTAAGATGAGGTCATTAGAACGGGCCCTCATCCAGTACAACTGGTTTCCTTATAAAAAGGGGAAATTTGTACACAGACACACCCAGAGGGAGGTCGGTGAAGAGACACAGGGAGAAGACAAACGTATGTGGGGCTACCGGAAGCCCAGGGAGAAACGTGAACAGAGGCTTCCCTTGTGCCTTCAGAGGAGGCATGGCTCTGCTGATACCACCTCTTCTGGCCTCCAGAACTGTGGGACAATAAATTTCTGTTGTTCTTCTAAGCCATCCATTTGCAGCACTTTGTTATGGTGGCTCTACGGAACTCATACAGGCTGGGGGAAAAGAGATCAACAACTGTGCAGACACTGGTGTTTGCCCCCCAGCAAACACACCTCCTTCCTGATTGCTCAAAAAGCCCCACTTGTGTTCATGTGTCCGTTGTCCCTGGCCTAGGATCAGGCCTAGGCCTGGTCGCATCAATCCTAGAGGCCTCTCTGCAGTTCTATGCACCATGTAACCTAATACTGGCCAATAGGTCTCACTAGAAGGACTGCTGTACCCATGATCTCATTCAATTATTCTTGGATATTTGTCTTTAAAGTCCTGCTTAAAATATTTGGTGCAGCGACTGTTTCTATCTGAACCTGAAAAGGCACTACATTAATGATCAGTGCATCACTAGACAACACGATGGAGAATGGAAACTGAGTTGGTTTTGTGAACACACATGTCAGGTTTGCCTGTTCCAAGGCTAACTTTAACCTCCCGGGTTTAAATCCACAGGTTTTCCCTTATCAGTGACTATTACCTCACTTAGACAAACATCTCCTGGGTTTCTACATTAGGCAGTGAAGAAACAGTGTTCCAATCTGCGCACTTAAATTCAGGGACTCCCTGGCACATTACCTAACCCCACTCTGTCCTCCCCTTGTTGTAACTGCATGAGGCAGCTGAGTCTGGCTCTGGATTTTACTGCACGTCCTTCATCAAACACAGAATAATCTCACACCTCACACCTAATGGTTTTTGCAGCTAAGACACAGGTCCAGTCCTTGCCATGCCACAGGCTAACTGAGAATATTAAAGGGCTGGATGGGTCTCAGCAGGGCCAGAGAGGAGGGACGGGAGGGGCTGCACAGGCTGATGGAGGGGGCTCATGCCCCACCCTGCGAGGAAGGGAGGGAACTTTGTTTTAGGGATGGCACAGGCTTTGACACCAGTTCAAGCTCAGCACCGCCATTTACCAGCTATGTGACTGGGCAAATGACTCGACATTTCTAAACTTCAGTTTGGAAACTGGGAAATACAACTTAATATTCTTAAGAATTTTGTCTAACAATGAGATAATCTATGCAATGTACCCAGCATGATGTCCTGTGACCAGCAGGTGACCTCCCAGGATGTATACATGATTCTGAGTCACACACACACAGAATGTCTGCAATTTTTCTTTCTTCACTAGATGAATCAGTCCACTGACTGTTACAGAAAAACTAGACATGTTCCCATCACATTGGCCATGTAGCCCTGTCATCTTTTACCCTGGAGCATGTCACAAACCATTTATCCCCATGATTCTTCCCTTAGTTCCCCTGAAATAACGCAAAGGCTTCTAACGGGCCTCCTTGTCTGTGCTTCCTCCCCATCCACCAGTCCAACGCCAGTGAGCCACCAGAATCACCATGGAGAGCGGGGCCTGGGGTGTAAGCCACAGCTCAGAGGTCAGTCCAGCCCACTGTCTGGTTTTGTATAGTTTCACTGCAGGAGAGCCATGCTCATTCATTTATGTGCTGTGTGTGGCTGCTTTTACACGATCACAGCAGAGCTGAGTAGTGACAGAGACTGGACGACCTTCACAGCTTAAAATATTTACTATCTGATCCTTTACAGAAAAAATATCCTGGACCCTTGGTAACTTACTGTAGGACACTCTCCTTGGGCACTCATCATTCCCTCCTGTGACTTACCTCCAAGATGAAGTCTAAGCTACATTAGTTGGCCTTTACTTACCTTTCCTGGCTCAACTCACATTCCCCGACCTGCAGCCTAAACCCTATCCTTGCTGAATGAGAGTCCTCCAAACATACCAGGTTCCCCATTCATTTGAATACCATATGCCCTTTCCAGATATAAAACTTATTTCTGTTCTTCAAGATCCTTCTTAAAAAGCCCTTCCTTGTAACCACGAATCTAAAACCTGCAATGGCAATAAGTACATATCTCTCAATAGTCACCCTAAATGTAAATGGACTTAATGCACCAATCAAAAGACACAGAGTAATAGAATGGATAAAAAAGCAAGACCCATCTATATGCTGCTTACAAGAAACTCACCTTAAACCCAAAGATAAGCATAGACTAAAAGTCAAGGGATGG